AGTGACGGCAAAATCCTCTAGTAAAGGGTAAGTATTTCACTGAGACTTTATTGCTGGAGTGATTGCTCAACATAAAACCCCCAATCAACTGCAACATGTAAGCCCTAGCAAATCGGGTGATCTGTAAATGATTTTATGCATGCATCGCCACATGGGTAAAATGTTGGTCTAGCTAACTCATCTTCAGGAAGCTACCACAAAAGCATCACGTGATGGTCTAATCCCTAGGCTCTCTTTAACAATATCAACATAATTACCTCCAATAGGTGCTATCACAGGTCTTCCATCAATGTGTAAACCTAACAACATTGATATATCATGCAAAGTGATCGTACACTTGCCTGGAGGTAAGTGAAAAGTGTGTGTCTCTGGCCTCTATCTCTCTACTAATGTAGTGATCAACAGGAGGACTAATGGGAACTGACATAGTAAATCTTGTAAGCTCTAAATGTAAAAGGATCTCCTCTGGAACACCATCCAAACCAGTTGGAATAAATTGACTTTTCCTAACCTTCAAAATAGGATGATCCCAACTATCCCAAATATGTTTAGACACGTGAATATTTTGTAAGCGCAATAATGAAAGATTCTCTAGTTCAAGATGAATGACTCTATTCTGTCCTGAAGATGAAGTCATCTACAAAAATAATATGTTATCAACTCAAATACACAAAATATCAATTATCTATAAAATATAACATGGTCAACATTTTAAATTTTAATATAAATTATACAAAAAAATTTCATAACAAGCATCAAGTATAATACCACAATATGTTCTTAATTCATCACATTATTCAAATACAAAATCTACATAAATAAAATAAAAAACAATTATTCATAACCAATTTTTAAAATTTAACTAAATAAATTAGTAATTTGTTCATAAATATATATTAATATTTTATGTATTTTTCCCCTATATTTAACAATTTTTTTTACTTAGTACATCAAAATAAATTAATATATTAATTAAAAACTATAAACATTAAAAAATTTGTAGTACTTCCCATTTAACAATTTTCATATTACAATAACAACACTAATTAACAAATTATTTATTTTTAATTTTTTATTGGTCATCATTTATTAAATTATATAATTATCAATAATTAACCTAAATTGATTACAATCACTCTAAAAATTTAGATTCGACATTTAAATTTTTTTCTTCCTAAATTAAATTAGATAATTATAAATAATTTATCTCAACTAATTTATAAATCTCTAAAAAAATTTATTTGATAACTAATTTTTTTATTTCATTAAAAATTAGATTATTTAGTTAACATAATTTAATCTCATATTATTAGTCCCTAGTTTTATTATAAATTAAATTATATAAATAAAACTTTTTATTCTAAACTAATTAATATCACTCCAATAATTTAAATTACATAACTAAATTTATTATTTCATCATTATTAACCAATATTAATTATATTTTTTGTTACACTTATTTATATAGTCAAATATTTACTACTATAATTTTAATATAAATTTTTGTTGTCAATTTTAATACTTTCAATTTTTACTATAACTTTTTTTTTAATTATCTAAATCTTTTCTTTAATCATCATAAATAAATATATTTATTTACATATTTTAATGATAATTAATATCAGAAACAGAATTTATGTTATAAGTTTTATAACTATTTTCTATTCTGAATTTTATACAACTATTTATTATTGTATTTAATTTTTTAAAATTATTTTTTAGTTTTTTTTAAATTTACACCTCAAATTACTATAATAATTCTACATGCAAGTTTAATTTTTATACTAAATATTACTATAAATATTTAATTTTACAAATTTTGGTTATTATTTAATTTCTATAAAATTACCAAAATTATTTCAATTAAATTTATATTTGATAACTAATTTTTTTATTTCATTAAAAATTAGATTATTTAGTTAACATAATTTAATCTCATATTATTAGTCCCTAATTTTATTATTTTATTATAAATTAAATTATATAAATAAAACTTTTTATTCTAAACTAATTAATATCACTCCAATAATTTAAATTACATAACTAAATTTATTATTTCATCATTATTAACTAATATTAATTATATTTTTTGTTACACTTATTTATATAGTCAAATATTTACTACTATAATTTTAATATAAATTTTTGTTGTCAATTTTAATACTTTCAATTTTTACTATAACTTTTTTTTAATTATCTAAATCTTTTCTTTAATCATCATAAATAAATATATTTATTTACATATTTTAATGATAATTAATATCAGAAAAAAAATTTATGTTATAAGTTTTATAACTATTTTCTATTCTGAATTTTATACAACTATTTATTATTGTATTTAATTTTTTAAAATTATTTTTTAGTTGTTTTTAAATTTACACCTCAAATTACTATAATAATTCTACATGCAAGTTTAATTTTTATACTAAATATTACTATAAATATTTAATTTTACAAATTCTGGTTATTATTTAATTTCTATAAAATTACCAAAATTATTTCAATTAAATTTTTAATCTAAATATTACTATAAGATTTTTTCTACAGGCTAAAAAATTAATAAATTTAGTTATAAAATTTCAATTTTTAATATTATTTTTACCATAAAAATTTTGGTCACAATAATATTTTTTATTACATTACAAGTATTTTTATTTATAAAAAATATAAATGGAAAAGCCTGTGGAGATTTCTGGCATCGTTGGAGGTGGCGATTTTGCAACGGAGGGCTTCAAGCGACAACGGCAAGTTGTCTGAACGATAGCGTCTCTTCGGCTACCTCTAACTACTTTTCTTCTCTGTTCATTGTGACTGTGTAGCAGGTTACTATTCTTTCAACCTCCTTAAACTTTCAGTCCAAAAACATCTTCACTTGCTGCAAACCAAGCAGATTTGGACATGATTCTACAATAGATGACCAAGCACACTCACGAATCAAGCTAAAATGATAAAAAAAAAAAAATCACCAACAGAAAAAATGGAGGAAAGACATTTGAAACAGCAGAGGGGGAGAAGGGAAGAGGGAGACACACTTACCATTACTTCGCCGACACGTGGCTCAAACATGTTTCGTCCCTGAGTCAGATGAGCGGGAAATTATAATTCAATTTTTTTAGTACACATTTTGTCTATCTTTAGGGCGAAATTATTAAATAAAAAAATTAAAAATTAATTTCGTTTGGACTTAATACGAAATAGCTGTTTATGTGGTAAAATTTTACCTCAGACAGGTAATAAGTTTTTATTTTATTTTATTTTGGTAATTATTATTTAAAAAAGTATTATTTAAATCATTAAGCCTAAATGAAAAGTTCAGATCGAATATAAATTTTTTTAAATTTACACTAGTATAAGAAAATCCTTTCTTATTTTATAATATTTTTAACAATTATTTTGAAGAATCTCATTATTAAAAAGAATGTTAGTATAATTCAATGATAAATTAAAAAATTTTGTTTTAGACCTAAAAATATCTTTAATCATTAATAAATTATAGATAAATAATATCAATTTACACGTTATTAAAAGTGACATTTTTTTAGAAATAATCTATTTTAATCGTGACTTTTTCTCTTTTTATTAAAGATATACAGGCAGATACATATGTATTTTTATTACTATATTTTTTTTATTTTAATGAATAAAAAGTTACACTTTATTATTGATATTGATTATAAAAATTCAATAAAATATTATTAGAAGTTGCCCGTATGCTAAGAATGTTTGGAATCACTTTATTTGTCTTCAGATTTGGGTTCCTTTTTTTAGTACTAAAATTGCTGATTGATTATTGTTTAATCTATTTGATCGGAATCCTAGTATTTTTCCTAAGTGAGGTAGTTTATTTGGAATTATCGCTTAGTATATTTAGAAAGATAAAAATAATTTTATCTTTAATTATGCTTCTACTTAGCTTTTAGCTCCTACTCATAAAGTGTTATCTAATTTTCAACTCCATGTTAATTACTCTGGACATAAGGCTGACTCCTTCTTTAAGCATGTAGCTGATACTCCTTTGGTTAAATGGGTTTCACCTCCTGCCAGTGGAAGTTAACATGGATGACACTGTCTCATAGGAAGATGGTACTGCTACTTGTGGAGGCTTAATCTAGAATAAGCAAGGACAACTTTGGCTGGTTTTAGCAAAGGCATCCATTCATGTTCTTCCTTAGAAGCTGAACTCTGGAGTATTCTCTTTGGTTTAGAGCTCACGGTCCAGATGGGGCTAAATACCATTTGGGTTGAAAATGATTCTAAATCTGCTTTATCCAATGTCCTCTATGTGCAAAATCTTATCCACCTCTTGTTTGATCTAAATAGTAGGATTAGAAATGTTCTGAAACATATTTATTTTATTAGATTTGGGCATGTTTTAAAAGAAGTCAATCAGTATACTGACCACTTAGCTAAATTATGGTTGGAGGGTTTTATGTCTTATTGTTATATTGACACTCCTCTCTCTACTATTATTTCCTTTTTTCTCTGTATGAATTCTTTAAGAATTTGGTTCCCTTGAGTCCTTGATTTGTCTTTATTTGTTTGGACTTTTTTTGTCCCATTAAATAAAAAAAAATCAATTTAAAAAAAATTAGTATCTTTAAAGTTCAAAAGATAAATTTTAACTCAAACATATTAATCTTAATATATAATCTTCATTAATTTTAAAAAATTACTTTTAAATTTTACCTAAAATAAATATTAATCCATTCCTATAAAACATTTTAATCGATGATAAATAAATACTAACCCATTCCTATAAACCATTTGATAAAAATATTTATTATATAAAAATGTTAGCTTGTAGATTTATTTATTTTTTATTTCGGTCATGGCTTGGAGCAAAAAAAAAATTGATAAATAAATACTAACCCACTCGCTCCAATCAGTAATGGGCTTTTGTTATTGGGCCTGCCTATGGATTCTATCTGAGCCAATGATGTAGGGTTTTCATGAGGAAAAAAAGAAGGCTAGGGTTTTTACTGGCGTAGTTTATATAAAAGGGAGTCATTATCCTCTCGTCTTGTTTAGGTTTTCTTAGTGAGGGTAACCCTTTGCTCCTGTCACTGAGAGCTTAAACAACCCAAAGGTACTCTCTTCACTACTCAACTATTATATCATCAGATTTCATCTTCCATTTGTTCTAACTTGCGCCGTTTTATGTTAATTTTTGGTTTTATCGCTTTTTCAACCAATTGGCTTAGACCTTCGTGTAGTGTTTTTGTGATGTGATGATTTCTAGTTGTATTTGATTTTTCCCCCCGAATTCAGGCCCTTTTCTGTGATTAACATGCCCTATATGCCTCTTTATATGTTTGATTTTGGATACGATTGATTTTTCTTTGCAGAAAAAGATTTTTCTCATTAATTGGTTTTTGGGGTTCTATTTTTCTGAATCATGCATGTATATATGTTTGCTACTGCGAAGTGCACCTGAGTGAGAAGTGTTGGGGATACGGTTATGATGGTTACTTTGGATTATTTTCTCGCGTGAAAAACTGAAGGTGGATTGGTAATATGGTGAGCTTTAAACATAATGATTCAACTGAGGGTTATTATGCATCGCATCGATTTTTTGTAGTTGAGGGTATTAAGTGTTTACATTGCCTCCGAGGATGATCAAAAGAATAAACTTTCGTTCTACCGAGCTGTTTTCATGCAGAAAACTATTTGGAGACCTGAACTGAGGAGGCTGTGTTCAAGATTCTTCTGTATTCCACATTAGACTATGTTGTTTTCTCTTCAGATTGCATGTTGTGGTTTTCCTATTCTGAGTGCATTTAGTATTGTTTGTCTGATGTAAGATGTAGTTTTCATTTCTAGAATATGGATTTAGGGTAACATGCACGTGGGCTTTATTTTACATCAGTTTGTTACCTTGTAATAAGACCTAGTATTCTAGTTGAATTCACTTTGCGCCCAAGTGTAGTAGATGAGTCAAGAAAAGCATTCCTAGCATGCGAAGAAATGTTTTTTTTTTCCCTGTTTTGATGGGTAGCACAACATCTTTTAAAATCTGATTGTTTGGTCTCAATATGGAAGTATAAAACATCAACTTGTCCATTAAGAAACTGTGCATACAATACATTTAAGTTTTTGTAAGCCATTCCAAGAAGTCCATGTAAAATGACTTTTGCTCTGCTGTTAGCATTTGTTTCATATGTCATGTATGCTTGAATTACACAATGTATTCTGTTTATGTTTTTAACATGTGGCAGGTCTGTACATTTTAAGTAGAATTTATAAAGTAAGCTTGATTACTGATTTATTGTCTGCCTTTTGTGTATTATATTTCCTCAATTTAGTTCTGTTAACATTTTGGTTTGCTCCTTTATATAGTCCTAGTTGGCTACGGTGAAATTTATTTTTGTCTTCTTTGCCTATACCCAGATGAATCGGGAAAAGTTGATGAAGATGGCTGGTTCTGTCAGAACTGGTGGAAAGGGTACCATGAGAAGGTATATCCATATAACCCAATTTTCATTCATTCTAATGAATAATGGTCAGTTTTCTTAGTATTGCAAATAGTAGTTTTCAACATGCTTTGTTCTTCAAAATTCTTTGGTAAATCTTTCATTTGTCACTGGATGTAACATTTTTCATGCTTGGACAAATGAATAATGAATTCTTGAGCTCTTCTGTCTCTCCCTTAGAATGCACGTACTTCACAGTGTGCCACAAAAATGCTGGTTTTTTTTTGTTTTATTGTAATTGAACATTGCTGACTTTGTATTGCTTCTGTGAAGCAGTTGCTTCAAGAATGTTTCTTTGTTTAACACATGAAAGGCACCTAATGAGTTGAAATTTCTCGTGATGTTGTGTCTTCTGTTTATTTTAGAAAGAAGAAGGCTGTCCACAAAACAACAACCACAGATGACAAAAGGCTTCAGAGCACCCTGAAGAGAATAGGGGTGAATGCCATCCCTGCAATTGAGGAGGTCAATATCTTTAAGGATGATGTAGTTATCCAGTTTTTAAATCCTAAAGGTAATGTCAGTCTGCACATAATTTGAACATTTATATATTTTATTAATTTAACAAGCTATATATTCAATTTTTTAATTTGGAAATTTTCTTTCCAGTACAAGCATCTATTGCTGCTAATACTTGGGTTGTTAGCGGTTCTCCACAAACAAAGAGTAAGCAACTATACCTTTTGTTGCTCATCGTTGTATGCCTTGTTATGAAACTGAACTTGTGCTATCTGCTGTACACTATTGTGTGTGAGAGCTTTGCCATTTTCATTGTATGTAAATAATATTTTGCTCAAGTCAATAACCAGGATATACTAAATAAGCTTCAATGCATATATATAGGGCCATGGGCATCTTTGTTCAGTGTGTCATATTAGATATGACCACCAAGGCATTGTTTTTCCCCAATTTCTACACTATTAGACTAACTGTAATGTGCTGTGTGATATTTATCTGTCTTGTGACTGAATTGGTATTGAAAATTGACATAAAATTTGCCCTTCTACAGAATTGCAGGATATACTCCCTAGCATTATCCACCAATTAGGTATGTACTTGGAATTATTTCGAAGTTGTATTTGGGGTACCCCGTAGCTCTCAATTTAACATTTTGATTGATTATTAAAATGCAGGTTGTACTTGGAATTATTTCGAAGTTGTATTTGGTGTACCCTGTAGCTCTCAATTTAACATTTTGATTGATTATTAAAATGCAGGTCCCGATAACTTGGAAAACCTGAAGAAGCTAGCCGAGCAATTTCAGAAGCAGGCTCCTGAAGCAGGTGGTGGTTCAGCCACAGCACAAGAGGAGAATGATGATGACGTCCCAGAGCTTGTTCCGGGAGAGACTTTTGAGACAGCTGCTGAGGAGACCAAGGCTTCTTCTTAGAGTTTTATTTGGCCATCATCATATATTTCCTGTGTTTTTAATATTTTTTACCTTGATTTTCCATCTTAAGTATTTCAGGTGGTGTTCAGTTCTCCTGTTATATACTTGAAAAAGAGTTCAAATACTATTAATTAAATCTGCTTTCCGTCATCTAACTAAGTATTACGACTTGACTGCTCCTGTCATTCTAAGTTCTCACCATCGTTAGTCTCCATCTTTGTTCAAGGGTGATGTTAGCTAAGATACGTCTCGTTCCACACATTCGTTCTTGAGTTAATTCTTGAGGAGTTCGAGTTTTTGGAATTAGTTAGGGCATATTTTGATAGTGGATTTCGTATCATCTTGACCATGTTGCATGTTCTTGATTGATCTGAATTTATATATCACTAATAAGATTTGTTGACTTAATTGATAATATTTTGTATTAATTTTGTCTTATAGTTTATAATAAAGTATATCTTGATTTTAATTTCATTATTTTTAATTTTATAATTGTTACTGCATTTATATATTGTTATTATTTTTATTTCATGTATTATTTAATCTTGGCTGGAATGAATTTAAGTAAATCATTGTGTTTAATACTTAAATACCGTTTGTTACCGGCAAAACGTGGGTTTTTTTCGTCAAAATATGGAAATAGAGTTAATACTTATGAAATATTTCTTGTCTAGCATATTTTTTTGTCGTGGAGGATATTTTTTTATTATTAAAAAAATAGAGTTGATGGTTGGATCAGTTTGATCGCCAGGCATGCATATCTCCCCCATTACATTCTTACGCATGGCAACAATGTGAGACCAAAATGAAGTACCTCGTAAACAACTTTGAGGTCACTTACTAGAAGCATCTTAGTAAGACCCAAACCAAGTACCTCATAAGCACTTTGAGGTCACTTACTAGAAGCATCATTTTCAACTTCTTGTGGGGGGTTGTGGTGGAGCAATTTAACTTTTTCTTAGAGCTCATCAAGAAGCTATTTCTCAATTCATAATGGAATGCAATTATAAGGCCAAGTATAAAGGCCAACACTTACTTTAAGCTGCTCGAAATATCAACTTTATTTTTCTAATAATAAATATCAATTTTTACTTGAACAATAATTTTTTTTATTATTGAAAAAATAATAAGAGACGATACTTACAATGATGTAATAAAAAGTTATTTGACAGAATGTTTCAAAAATACTTTATTTTAGTAATTTATTTTTATTTTTATCATTTTTTGAAAAAAAAAAAAAAAAACCCTGCAGAGGCTCACTACTATTCTAATTGTTGAATAATGATTGTTGAGTAAGATTGTCCCAACCCAAGAGTTACATAGGAGCAGAATGTGAAATAGTTACAAATAGTATGAACAGTGTGTATGGACTTCTGCAATTTTTATTTTTATTATTTTTGTCATTGGGAGAGTAAAAGGGGACGTGGGAACTTTCAAGACTCAGGAATAGGGCCCAGAAGTGTTAGCTCTCACTATTTGAGCTGTATACTATAAGGTTATGGACTTTTGATATTGTAATGTGGAAAGCCTGACATGGTCCGCAACAGGTGTACACTAATTACTTCTAGGCCCTATTCGATATGTTCCAAAGGTGCAAAGCTTGAATTATCATTTAACAATAAACATCTAACCAAAAACAAAACTACTCACTTTAATGGCCTTGACTAAGTAGCAATGCAACAAGTCAAGCATTTCTTTTCCATCGTTCTACCAATGACTTTGCTTTTAAGGCAAATTTTTTATTTTTTTAAAACAGTTTTTATTATTGATTAAAATTTTGTAAAAGAAAAATATGAAATTAAACTTCAATTAAGTAATCTGGCAAAAAGTTTAACATTGTGATCTTTAATTTGTCTTAGTTAATGCAGTAGTGTTAACTTTTTAGAGAGAGAAACTTACAATAATCTTACCTGAAATCCAGTAGAAGATACTACAAATATTAATAAGTAAAATTATATTTGAAGACCTAAGCTTTAGATAATTTACCCGAGACAATGTCTTGTTCAGAGTTACACTCGGGAGATTTATAAGAAAATCTACTCTTGTTACTAAACTGTCAATTCGCTACAGTGCAATATCTATCGTACCTTATTTATAATTAATCCTTTTAATTTTTCGTAAAATATTAAATTAAAAACATGTAATATTTTACAAATATAAAATACTAATTTTTTATATTTGAGAATAAGATGACAATAAAAAATATTTATAATTATTTATCATATATAAGTGTGCATACAAAGATTCTTATGCGTATGCATACATAAGGACAAAATAATCATTCGAATTCCAAACATCTCCGAGTCACTCAAGGACTCGGCGACAAGCAATCTCTTTATAACCATTAATATTTGCTTTGGATGAACAGAAGCTGTTATTAGTGGATGCTTATATTACTTGAATAATACATTTGCCAATAAAAGGGCACAGCAGTTATTCTCTTTTCGAGAGTTTTCCTCGATGAACTTCCACTAGACATTGCAGAACATATTCTTATTCTGCTCCTGATTAAAGATTATTCTACATCCATAACAATTTTAAGTAAATTTTATTTTAATTACAAGTGGTTCGAAGTTCGAACACCAAACAATTAAAATCATAATTGACTTTTGGATGATAAAATCATTCACTTAACACATATGCTACTTGATAAAACTCTAATCGGATAAAACTTAAAGTTACCATAAATAAAGGAAAAATTGTCAAAAACTACTAATCAGCGTTTTGAAATTTTTTTTAGCAATGATTAGTTAAAATATAGACAAGTGAAAAGTCTACAATTTTAAAAGCAGACTTATTATATTTACAGAAAAAAGAAAGGATAAAAATCCAAATTGAATAAAAGTAATTATTTAATTTAACAAGCATTGAATCTCCTTTTTCTTAAAAGGTAAGGCCAAATAATACGAATATCAACAAAAACCAAATATTGTCACACAAGATTTGTACTACTTTACGCTTCACGCTTACATATTCGACTTTAGTCTCGTGTCTTTAGGCAAAAAGTAGTTTATACTAAAGCTAGGAATGTATTGGACTCAAATAATTTAAATCGAATCAGGTGAAGTTAATTAAGAGATAAATATTTGAGAGACAAAGGTTAATCACATTTTCCAAAAAAATTCTAAAGCGTGTATAATTAAATTGAATAGGATCACAATTGTATAATAAAGGGAAATTTATTTAAAATTATAAGCATATACACATATATATTGAATTAAATGTATTTTATTTTAATATTTAAAAACAGATATGCGGATCTCGTTCATAAAACTCACAATGGTGGAAACATCACTGAAATGTGAATCAATTAATACACCACAAAATTAACGTATTCCATTATGAAGTGCTCCATAGTCTTTGGACTTCGGAAAATGAGAAATTTAGACTAAAACTTAAAAATTGGAATTAACAACATGTACGCTTATTTGTTACATGAAACATGCAACTTGAGTGGCCAAAACATGTTGCCCTTAGAAAGCTTATATAATATATACGACATATGCAAAATGAAGATGAACAAACAAGAATAATATTTTGTACAAAATTTGTTGATACAGAGTGGGGAAAACCCTCGGAATGAGCAGACAGTGGACAGAAAAGCAAAATTGAAACCTAATTTACATTTGATGTGCAGTATTCACTTCACTTCTGACAGAAGAAGAGATGAAAGTTATTGGCATAATTTATTTAGAAGGAAGTGAATGATTAGAGATTGATGAGGGTGGGAGTGGGAGGGTGAGGAGGATTAGTGAGCATATGAACGACTTCCCTCATGGTGGGCCTAGCGGGGCCCATTTCTCTGACACACATCATGGCAATGTTGAACATGTGAATGACACTTGTCAAGGGGTAACCAGAGAGGCGTGGGTCCACAACAGAAAGAACCAAAGCTGCATCGGACGGCTGAGAGAGCTCCAATCTAGTCTTATTGACCCATCCAACGATGTCGACTCCATCTCCAAACTCACCCACGGGCTTTCTCCCAATGATGAGCTCCAGCAGGACCACGCCGAAGCTGTACACGTCACTTTTCTCGTCCACCTTAAGCGTGTAAGCATACTCGGGAGCAATGTAGCCGTAGGACCCTGCGATGGAGGACATCGACTGAGAGGCTCCTGGGTCATATAGGAACTTCGCCAGCCCAAAATCAGCCACATGGGACTGCAAGTCCGAGTCCAGCAAGATGTTGTTGGACTTGACGTCCCTGTGAATTATGAGAGGGGAACAATCATGGTGCAAATAGCATAGTCCTTTCGCTGCTTCCACCGCAATTCTATATCTCATATCCCACCTCAAATGCCCACCCTTCGCCCCATGCAGCCATTCCCCTAAGCTTCCATTTGGCATGTACTCGTACAGCAACAAGTTACTCTCCTTGTTCGACACGTACCCGAGAAGCCTCATTATGTTCCTGTGCCTTATTTTCCCTAACGTTTCTATCTCCGCTTTGAATCCGTAATCGTTTTTCCCACTTCCTTCTCCTACCAACCTCTTTATTGCTATCTCCGTTCCGTTTCCCATCGATCCTCTGTACACGATTCCCGCTCCTCCTTTTCCTATTATGTTCTCTTCCTTCAGACACTCCACCACTTCCTCCGCCTTCAAGTTAAGCCTCTGGAACGCCGTTAGCTTCCACGCCATCGCTCTCTGCTCCCTCCTCTTTCTCGTCATGTACACCGTCACCGCTACCAGCACCAATGCGGTTCCCCCTGCAATCACAATCACGATAACCTTGGTCGTTTTGGAACTGCGCCTCTTCCTCGCTGTGTCGTCTGGGTACATTAGGGAATTAGGGCAGGATGGTTGGCGGGAGGAACAGAGGTTGGGGTTCCCCGTAAACGACTTTTCGTTGAAGACATAGAACTGTCCCCCGCTGGGGATCTTGCCCATGAAGTTGTTGTAGGAGAGGTCGAGGGTGGTGAGGCTGGTCATGAAGCGAATCTCGTCGGGGACTGGACCCGATATGTAGTTCCTCGACACGTTCAGAATGCTCAAGTCCTTCAGGTTCTTCATTCCATTCGGAACCTCGCCGACGAGCATGTTCCGGCTGAGGTCTACGGCGCTAAGAGAAACACAGCCAGTGAACGTCGTCGGGATTGGACCGGTGAGGTTGTTGCCGCTAACGTTGAACTTGGTGAGCATTGGTAAGTCAAAGACTTCCCCTGGGATTTCCCCAACGAACTCGTTGGCGTCAAGGAACAGGGTCTGCAATCCCCTGAGGTTTTCCAAAGCAGGGGGGATTTTCCCCGTCAGAAGGTTGTTAGAAACAGTTAGAATCCCAAGAGAATCTCCGGAAATATCGGGAGGTAGTTGGCCGGTGAAACGGTTATTGGCGAGCTCGATTATGGTAACGGAAGGTAGTTTGAAAATTCCAGGGGGAAGCTCACCGTTGAGGTAGTTATTGGAGGCTCGAATTTTGAGGAGGGAGTTACAGTTACCAATGTCCTTGGGGATCGGGCCGTAGAAGAAGTTATCGGTGAGCATGAACGTTTGCAACCTCCTACTTTTGCACAAGTCCTGAGGTATCAACCCCGTGAAGTGATTCTTGGTGACGTCGAAGAACTTGAATTTCCCATTTTGCCCAAGGTTCTGCGGTAGCACGAAGGAGAAGTTGTTTTCCCAGAGCTGGAGCGCTTCCAGGTTCGGAAGCTCACCGACGAAGGACGGAACGGGGCCGCGAAGCTTGTTCTGGAAGAAGTTCATCAGAGTGAGGTTCTGAAGCCGAGAGAAACTCTCTGGAATCTCGCCGGTAAGGCCGTTGATGGAGAGGTCTAGCGACATGAGGCTCGCCATGGCAGAGAGCTCCGGCGGAATGGTTCCGGTGAGGTTGTTCATTTGCAGGAACAAGGTGTGAAGGTTCGTTAAATTGCTCAGGCTCGGTGGAATCTCGCCGCTGAGGTTGCAGCTTGACAAGTCCAGCAGTTTCAGAGATTCCATGGTGCCTAACTCCGGTGGGATTCCACCTTCGTAAGCGTTGTTGTAGCCGAGATACAGTTCCTTAAGCGTCCTCAGCCGAGCCAAACTCTTGGGAATCTTCCCCGTTAGACTGTTGGTGCTTAAGCCCAAATACTCCAAGCTGGCGAACTCCGAATAAATCTCTGGTATGCTGCCGTTAAAATAGTTTCCGGCGAGCCGGAGGTACCTGAGGTTTTCCAATTCGACGGTTTCTTCGGGAAGTGGTCCCGTGAAGTTGTTGTCATAGGCATCGAGGACCTCGAGTTGAGTCATCGGGAGAGTGATGTTGCCGGGGAAATGGCCGAAGAAGAGGTTGTGGGAGATGTTGAGGATTTTGAGGGAAGTGAGGCCGGCAAGCTCCGGTGGAAGTTCTCCGGTGAGATTGTCCTTGACGATGGTGAGATTCTCCAACTTGTCCAAGTCTCCGATGGCCGGCGAAATATGGCCGAAGAGCGGAATAAACGACACGTTCAGAGCAACGACACGGAGGTCCCGATCGCATGTTACGCCGGAGAATGAACAGTGGGCAGAGAGTGACGTGGAAAACTTCCAGTCTTGGAGCGCGTGGTCTTGGGCTTTGTCTCCCTTCATGGCGTCCTTCAGCTTTAGCAGCGCTTCCATGTCGCTGAATGAAGAGCACGCTGCCACGCGCAACCATACGAAGGTAACACACATTATTAGCATGTTACACGCACGGGTTCTCATCTCTCTATTGCTTCGCACTCTCTGATTTATTCAACAGGTATGCATTTGGCGCGCCAACTTATATTGGTACCGCACACCACATGCTATCTATTTATATACCGCTATACTTGGTGCGTGTATATATTATATTACGTATATATAATATATATGTGCATGTACATCGCTGTATCTAATTTTTTGTCAAATGAAATGAAATGAAAAGAGTAAAAAAAAGTGGATGCCAAGAATATAATAATAATAATAATATAATAAAATGCCTCAGTAACCTCACCATCCGTCTCCTGTCCAGAGTAATTTTTTGAAAAATGAAAAGTATATAGTTATATTGATTCCAGTGGTGGAGGTCGTCGTCCTACGAGAACCTAACCTACTTTCGAGGAGAAACTTCTATATATCACAAATCTTTTATTCAGTAACTATATATATTGAAATATTTCATGTACTCTACTAAATTGATCGATGATGTTGATCGGTTAACATTTGGTGTAGCATAATGAAATTTCCTTGCCACTAGCTGTTAAGTCCACTCGTTGTGGAGACAAATTAAGGTGCAATATCTTTGTTAACATTAAAGAAGGTTTAAGCTTTCAATGAGACTCACTTTGGAATGAAACAAAAGTTGTTTTACGTGCATCACCATATTAAAAAACGGGGAGTTGCTTTACGTGGAAGCCTTCCTCACTAGGTACTGTGCTTTGGTATATTATCACTGAGATAGTTATTGCCCATGGAAAGCATCAATTCTCTGTTTAAATTCTGTCAACGATCATCCACTCGACAGATATTGCAGAATCGTATTCTATATGTGATCGTGATTAAAGGCTATCTCATGCACCAATCAAAATTTCGAGTAAATTGTTTATTGCAAAGTGGTTCTGTCCCAAACATTTCGGTTAAATGTAAATCTCATTTCCCATATTTTAAGAGAATGAAGGCAAACGATGTACGGATATATATAAATGGATTTTTTATTTTTTATACATCTCATTTCTTTTTTTTTTTTTTTGTTTTTTTTGTCTCACTTTATTTTCTTTCATTTTATTTTTCTATTTCCTTTACGTCTTCACGCTAGTGAGAGCATAGATGATATATGAATAACCAAGTGGGTGCATGTAACTATGATATTCTTCTTTTTGCTTGTAAAAAAATGTGAAATATTCTTCTCACGATATATATTTTGATACAAGTCACCGCTGATGTAAATTATCATTAATTATAATTATAAAATCTATTATTTTTAATTTTAATATGAATATTAATATTTCTGTTAAGGATAAATTTGATCTTCAATGATTTCTTCTTTAGTCCTACGTCATGACGTTCTCGCAGATATGTTAGATCCTTCTTTATATGACGTGGGAAGAGTAACTGCAAAAGACACTATGGTAAAGTCAAGTGTCAATTTAAGTAATAATTGTTATTTACTATTCGTCCTTGCGGATATGTTAGATCCTTTTTTATATGACGTCGGAAGAGTACTTGCAAAAGGCACTCCGATAAAGTTAGGTATTGATTTAAGTAATAATTGTTATTTACTATTTAGAAGTCAACTATTTATCTGTATTTTTTACTTTTCTTTTATAGACAATATTTTGAGTTAATGGACTTTATGACTCAAACCTGTCTTAAGCCTTCTGTTTAAATAGATAATTAATGATTATCTACCTTAAGTTGTTCAATCATTTCTAATTTATCTTAATCTAACTAGAGGAGTATTTGTCTTTTTAGGCCAAAGAGATATTTAGATTCATTCTTTTCCGTGACCAAAAAGAATCTGTTATCCAGTACAATGAATATATAATAATTTAAATAATTAATACAAGAATATAATATAAGAAAGTGTATTCAAGATTTTTTTTATACCTAAAAATATTGGTAAAAGAAAAGTAAAGACAATATTTTTTAAAAAAAAGAATTTTTTTTATAATAGTAAATATTTAAAAAATCTTATATTTAATCATATTTATTCATTTAACTTACATCTAATAATAAATTAAATAATAAATTATTTGTTCATTTAACTTACAATCTAATAATAAATTAAAAAAAATTATAAACTGTTAATGGTTTTCTTTCTTTTCATTTCGTTATTTAAGGCTTAAAAAAATGTTACAAGGTCAAGATTCTCCCAAAGCCATGGTTCAAGAATAAGTTCATGCTGCTGTTTCCACAATTCTTTCTCAATTTTGGGAATTGGTGGGCACTGATAAATGGATGAGTGGCACATGCCATAAAAAATGTTCAATATTGTCGTTTGTCAACCCCTGCAATGATAGTGACAGCGAGTTAGTGTCCCTGAAGTGCCCATAAAAATCTTCTATGATTGGCCCTTTTGTTTCAATTCTTCGTGTTTACATGGCAGGTAGTTTTTATTTTTTGAGCCTAATTAAATTCTGTACTTCACAAGATGAATATGAGCTACATTTATATTCTGATTAAGTTAATATAATAACAATTAAGTTGAACCCAACACGTAGAGATTCTATATTATCTTGTGAAGATAATGCAATCAAAATATGTTTTTTCATGCTTAGATTAGCGTATATTTTTTTTCATGTGAAGATAATGCAACAAAAAATATGCACTGATTATCTATTTTTTTCATGTTAAAAAAACATTTGAGTAAATAATTTATATTTATAAATTTAATTAAAGTAAAAAAATTGTCTAGTTTTAAAAATTTCTTATGTATATTTGTTTAATATATTTTAAAGAAATGATATTTTTTTACTAAAACTAAAAGTAAATAATTATTTCTCTAATAATATTATTAAACTTACATAAATTACTAAAATAAATTAAAAAATTATGAATCACTTTCATGATTGGAAATAAGTTGTTACAAACAATCTCCTAATAATTAAGCTTGTCTCCTGCACTATGTTTTGTTTGTGTTTGGTCTCTTGCACTATGTTGGTGGAAAGTGGAAACACTTATGAAATGTGGATCACGTTCATTCCGGCAGTTGACCACTAGAGGCCACTAATGACATAACATGCACTCTGTTATTAGACTAATTAACATGCATCGTTCACATATTATTAAAGTAAATTTTAAACCTTGTTGCAACTTGCTTGCATTTCATGTTTTCTTGTGGGTGATGTATGAACAGTTTAGTCATATATGATAAAGGTGCAAGGGATGCATTCACGTCACTTCAAATCTCTTAATTTTGTATTATAAATACTAAGAAAATTTTGTTTCTATAAATAGCCTCGCTTTACTAAAATTCTATTAATTATAGACATATATATCTTGGTGTTTGCTATAGTGCTCTTAAACTTGAGGATGTATTAAATATTCTCTCTAAATTATACTAAAATTTACTCTATTATTAAAATTAATTTAAAATTAATGATTATAATTGTTTCACGTATATACGAATATAAAATATTTTTTCATTTTTCAAAGCACCCTAGAATATATATTTCTATTCATCCCGTGAATGTTATGTAATGTTGAAATGATAAAATTTCACAAGTGATACTCTAATACTTAACCACGTTGATATAGTAATCTATTCTTTAAATATTTTTATTATTTATTAATCTTTCGTTTCAGCGTAACAGTTAAAGTATCTCATTTGTTTTAATTTTTTTCCTCGTATTCTAACCTATTATGACATTGTAATTACATGTAACACTTTTAATTTTTAAATAAAAAATAGTTTTAATCTACAAAAATTATATTTGTAAGTAAAAAAAATTCAATGTAAGAAGTTAAATCATTTTTACACATTCGTTATTTTTTTTTTCAATGTATATGTTACGCTAATGACCCAACATTCATTTCCATCAATTTTTCATGTTTCATTTATCCTATGACTTGTTATTTATTCAGTAAAATTATTCTGCCGTACTAAAAGTGATCCTGCTAGGAAATTACTCGTCTTCTCGCTTTTTTTAAAATAAGATGACGTCTTTCCTTACACACTTGACATTGTCTGATGTAGGGTGGTGTACCTGCAAAAGACACTCCGATCATGAAGTCAGGTATCGGTTTAGGCAATAAATGCTATTTAATATTCAAAAATTAACCTTTTACTTGTACTTTTTACTTTCCTTTTATAGACATTATTATGGGCTAATGAGCTTTGTGAGTCAGCCCTGTTTTCAGCTTTCTAATTAAGCTGATAATATTTTTTATTATTTATCCAAATAAACTTACTTATTCTTTAATTCATTATTAATTTGATCGAAGGGTACTCATCTCACTTAGGTCGAAAAGGTATTCGGATTTCTTTTTCTACAAAAAAGACTGAGTAGTGTTTTATCTAGTACAAAAAGTTTCATGCTACATTTAGTGATGCTCATAAAAACAAATAATTATTTTTTTTTAATTTTATGCTGACATTATATTAAAATTCAATTTTTAACTTTTATTATGAAAAATATATCTAACTAAAGTTGAAAAAAATTATAACTTTGTTGCTGAAAATTTCATTTAAAATTTATAGTAAAATAACATTTTAGCATAGAAGATTACAAAAAATTATTTATTTATTTAGTCATTTTCTCCTTTTATTACTTTTGAATTGAATTTAAAATTACTTTCAGCACAAAAAATTATACACTACCAATATATGATTTTTAAATTAAATTTTATAAAAATCAATAAATTTTATTAATATAATAATTCACAATTAAATGACAATATGAAAAAAATTATATAGAAACACATTTCAATTAAATTTTTTTATTTCTAGAGACTTTATACCAATACAAAGTTACAACTTGGCAGGTATATAGAAATCAGTCACATTCATATTCTTGATTAGAATCTGTTAGAATTTTCTTTTAATCTAATATGTAATTTCCATTATGCGATGACTATTATAAAATTATCATTTTCCTTTGATTTTGAATTACGCTGTTTTCACAACACAATATATGATTCTCATATAATTAAGGGTTTAGAAAGCACTAACCTGAATCCATTATTCCTTGATATTACCTCTCTCTTTGATGTCGTTGATCCCTTGGTATTTTCTCCAACTCTTCATTCCTCTTTCAGCTCCTCTCGGATGGTTGAGAGAAAGTTCCTTTCTTACGTTTACCGTGAGCTCACTCAAAGACCGTGAAAGTGAAAAATAGAGAATATTGTAACTTCTATTTGGTAACCGCTTTTTTATTTATATGAAGGGAGAGAGGAGAGTTTCCTTATAATTATATTTACAATTATACCCTCAATGACTCTATATTTTATATTTAACCACCATCATATTAAATCATTAATTAGAGTCATGCTATAAGTTACATAGGCCACTATAATAAGATTATTAAAATAATCTAATAATCTCCCACTTGGCCTATGTGACGACTTGAAGATTCAATGAACTGTAAGTGTGCATATCATTGATAATATCAAGTCATCATCTTTTAATGATTTAAGTTGATCAGATCATGGCGGTCCTAAGTCATTTGATGGCATGATTCCTTCCAAGTATCACAGAATCAACCCAAATCAAAATATCTTTAATCAGTCATACTACAGACTGTAACTCTAATGTGTTTTTAACACTCAACCTGTTAT